TATATTTTCTCGACAATTTGTATTTTTATATAAATATTCTGTAATATATATATATATATATATATATACAAATAAATTATATAACAATTATTGAAATCGGTTCTCGTAGGATATGAGGAATTATTAAGGCCTCGGTTTGTGTTATCTGCCTCAGCCGTCGGCTTCGGTTGATAACACAAACCTCTGCCTTAATAATTTCTCATATCCTACTCGACCTCATGCAATAATTGTTTAATATCATGCGAAAGCCGAATCCAATAATTGTTTTATTATACATTTAAAGACATGAGAAACGTAGGTAGGGAAAAAGTACAATTTGAATATCAAACACCTTGCACAAAGTCAAAGGTCAGCTAAATATGCTATTTCTACTTCTGTTTACCCCTTTGTAACTTTTTTCGTGCTATCACTATCCTTATCCTTATTTGGGGGCTTCGGTGGCCAAGTGGTTAGCGCACTTGCCTTTCACCTCTGAGGCTGCAAGTTCGAGTCTCACTAAGTACCTTCTGAGTGCGACTCGAACCCAGTCCCCATGTGAAAAGAGTAAAAAGTCAACGCTCTGCCGAAAGCCGTGGGTTTTCCCCGGGTACTCCGGTTTCCTCCCACAGGGAAAGTTGACAGGGTGGGTTAGGTTAAAAGGGCCCACAGTAATTGGCATATGCTGTTGTGGTGAACCTGCCCTAGTTGGCAAAGCTAAATAAATAAATAAAAATAAATATCTGCCAATAATTTGGAGATTTCACTTCCGTTCACCGAAGAAAATCTGCTGTAGGCCATTGTTTGTTTGTTTTTTCCGCGCACTTATAGGTTCAAGCTTTTTTGGCTGCGCAAGGGTTTGGGCACGAGAGAGTCCAATATTTTTTTTGGATACAAGTTCGATCCAAAAAAACAATTATTGGACGCTGATGACGTCATCGGGGAAAAATACGTAATAAATGCCGAATACTGAAAATTAGCCGGTGCTTTCCGACCAATTAGAAACGAGAATACATATTAAATGTATAATAATTTACCTTATTGCAGTGTGAGCTTTGTCTGGCAGTAGCTCTCTGCGCCAAAATCTCTAGCGAGGGTTTAATTGTGTTGTTGAAGGCGCCGCTCAGTAGCTTGTCAACGCAATTTGTGCGTGAGGCATCGATATTCTTTTCAAGCTCCGTGTACAAACGTTGTAGAGATTCCAGATCGTTTGCCGCAATCGCAAACTGAACATTGTCGAAAATGTTTCCAGATATCGCTGGTGGAATTCGCTCGTATAGATAGACGTTCGAAATAGTAAACACTCAGAGGTAAACACTATACACTAATGCCGTGTTGACGAATACCTCACGCTGCGAATCCGTCGAAAATATAAGCCAATGACAATGCAGAATGTTTTTTAAATGGTTCAATCAGAAGGCTCATACAGAGCCCCTGAATCTGCAAATCCGTCAGGCCTCCGCACAGATCCGTCGCAAATGGCCGTAACCCTCGAAATAAACGTGTCAGCCAATCAGATAGCCGCATTTAACCCCCGAATCCGTCAACTTTCATGCGTACGAACGCTGTACGTGACTGACTAACATTACTTTGCCGAAGTTCTGCCGCAGCATGAAACGTATAAATGGACTACCGGTTCGATTCAAAATTTTAGAATTTTTTTTAAGCAGACAATTTTTACTTCAGTCGCGCGACTGGTTTGACGACCCCTGGATCCGTCCCTGCATGGGAACAGGTTTAGCAATGTACATGTATACCCATTATGATATCAATTTTACTTGCCAAGGGGAATTTGTTGCTCAGTGGGTTAGGCTTGGAAAAATAAATGTTGGATCTAAATGGACTAAATACATTGGTTCATTAACCCACTGATAAGCTAGACTCTGATTTTTCCTGTGACAACTTAACTTCGTTGTATAGTAAACCTAAACGAAATATTGTTGGGCTGTTGCACCATTGCATTGTTGCACCAAAAAAGTTTAACCAAAGATCTGCTTGGTGGAGAGCATACCAAGCTTAGCCTAATGACTTGTCTTTTGAGCAGATATAGGCATGAGGATATATTCTTAAGCCTGGCGCACATAATGCGATATTAGTCGGCCGATAAAAATCGTATGACTAAAACTACATTTGTTTTCAAGTTCTTTCTTAAAAATTTTAGTCTTCCAAAAGTTTTGAATGATTATTGATCATCCTAGCCACACCATTGCAAGTGTACTGCATGTTTATTAGTGGATATGAGTGTATAAAATACAGTATTAAACCCAGCTGGGATAGAATATTTGCAAAGCTGTAAACAAACATAGGTACTTAAACGTGCAGAAATAAATTTATGAACACAGAAAAATAAAATGTGAGTTTTGGGTGCATTTGTCTGTCATGTATGAAGAATGGGTTGAAATATATTAAATTTTAATCAGTAGAAAGACAACAAATCAGGAATATTACCACAAAAAATACAAAACCTGTAATTATTTATTAATTTTCCTACCTGTATGTCTGGCCGTTAATCTTTCTGAGCTGTATTTAATTAGTCCTTCTGTTTAGCCGCCAACAGTCCGAACCGTTTCTTTCGCTTTTGCTCGTAAACATCGAATCTCGCAAATTTTCGCCTTTGTAAAGACGATTTGACGTTTTACATCACAATATACGAAAAACAAAAAACATACAAACTTTAACACATGTCTTGACTTCTATACGAACCAAAAATTAAGTGAAAAGAAGCCTTAACGAAGGACCCCATACAAGCCGAAATTGTCACGTTTTTACAACTTGGAATAAAAAGACGGCATTGAGCGAAATGCTTCGAGCAAAAAGCCTTCTATTTTAAAAATATTGCGTGGAACCTTGGGAATATTCATATCATTTTAATCCTCTAGAAACCCTCTATTTCCCTATCACCCCCAAATAACCATCAAGGAAAACGCGCACAAATAACCATCAAGGAAAACGCGCTCGAGGAATTTAAGGAAATTTTCAGTATTTTAATTCGCTACCAAGCTCCTTAATTTTACGCGCGCCAGCGAAAAAAATTGGTACATTTCGAATTTGCAATTTTGCGTGCAAATTAAAAATGCCAGTGCCAGACGTGTTATTAAACTTAATTTAAATAGCATAGTAGATTGTTAGATAGCTTTAAGACCAATTCGAATTTATAGGTATTTTAGATTGAATATGTACCAATCAACGAAAGAAGTATAGACGACCCCAAAAATGCCATTTCTGACAATCTAGAGTGTCTAAATTCTCAAAATGTTCTCGTTCCGCGCCAACCATGGTGGCACTTCATGCGTTTTGCCCCCAACCCATATACTGCCCTTTAACATGTTAACCTATCATATTGGCTCAATTGTATTTAAACATGAAAAAAAATTGCATAGCCCCCCCCCCCCCTCCTACGGGGAACGTAAGTACGTAACTCCTCCGCCCGGAAATTACTGGCGCCACCCCTGACAATGTTTTGTTGCCCACATTGTTCATCGTTGTAAACAATATTATTGCTCAACATTGTGACATCCAATTCAGGCCCAATAATATTGTTCAATATTGTTAACAACTGTAAGCAATTTGGACGACAGCAAATCATTGTTGATAAAAACAGGATTGAGTAACAAATTGATAATTTTTTATATATGTATGCACGTATGAGTTATTAGGGTAGGATTATATAGGATTAGGACTTAGTTCAAGGTTGGGAATAACGGTTCAGGAAGGGATTAAGTTTAGGATTTTGGTTTGGATTATCATACAAAAAGTCTAAAATAGAGACAACCCCTAAGAGTGATAGGATAATTTTTTGTCGTGCAATTCCGGCACGAACAACTTGAAGCTTCATCCACTCAGAGAAAACTGTCTATAAGTTATTCTACTTATTTTGAGAATATACTAGATGGACTGAGGGCTTTTGTGAACGAGAACAATATGTGAGCAATATGAAATACATCACATTTTAATATTTTAATTTCGACTTAAAGATATTGAGAAATACATGTTTTCATATTTATTAGCTATATAATTATCTATAATTATTTTTTAACATTAATCAAGAAAAGTTTTTGACTGTGTAAATTGTGCGACAAGGTTATCATAATTATTGTTTTCTATTTGTTTTTTTTATAATTTTCTACATAAAATATTTCAGATCCTATAAATGCCTTATACATGCATAGATATACGTGCAATGCGACTTTATGAGCTGAAACTAATCATATACGTAATAGTCCTTTTCAATCTATTTAAGAATAAAGTTGCTCTGTGCGAAAATTTTTGTTAGTGTCAAATGGGCTAATGACGTTCTGTCATTTTGTTCAGATGACTAGCTAAAATTCGAAATTTTCTACGATATTTTGCTTCAAAGCATATGCAATTTTCAGATTTAGCCAAACTAGGAAATTACCACGAGACTGTAGTTTAACTAGCGTAAACTATATTTTTCGATCATTTCATTGACAGAAAGAAATGTCTACAAAATCTCAGTCTTATGTATGTTGAACTGAACTATTGAAGAACGGTTTTGAAAAAGATGGGAGAAATTACGCAGTTAACAGAATCTTTAGTCACTATTCAATGTCTAATGACGAAAGAGTCAGCATGGTTGATGTGCAGTGGTGCCAACAAATCGATAATTCGAGGGAGGGAGGTGGGTATTCATGCATTCGTGTTTTGCCTAATTAACTTCTTTTGAAATCGATTGCATGCACAGTATCACGCGAACACGAATATATGAATATTTGCCTCCTAATGATCGATCTACCGGCACCACTGTATTGATGAAGCACTCAATGTTCACCCAACACTATCCAACTAACTCTATTCAGGGCTTCACAGAAACCGGGAAATTCTGTCCACAAAAACTAACAGAGAAGCTTGAAATCAAACCGTTTGTGAACAGCCGAGGATTGAATGTCTCTCTAATGAACAGGTTGTATTGGATAAACATGCCCGAACCACCCATTCATTGATAACTTGGCAATTCACAACAACTCGAATTAGCCTTTTTCGTGCCGCCATTTTTGTTGTACTGCCTTTTCTAATTTCTTCATCGATTGTTATAAAAAATAATCATTATAAATTACCTCATGTTCAATATTTTAGAAATTGTTTTCACATCTCTTAGACTTTTCATGTCATTCACAACAAAAGTACAACAAAAATGGCGAATTTGGCCTTCGATCGTGAAAAAGGCTAAAAACTACAAAGATTCACTCGATCACTATTCACTATTGTTCGGTAAACTCTTGCGCCGAGTGGCAATTACTGTAATTGACTAACATAATGCTCATCATGTTCGATTTCCATTCGCGTCTCGGAATACACCTTCTTTTAAACCAAAAGTATAGGCTAGTTTTCCATGAATTGGGACAATTGAGTTGCCGGCGTTCTGTATTTGAACGAACCAGGAATGAGTCAATTTTTTTGCTCTTGGATGATTGACACGGTTCCTCTTTGCACGCAGAAGGTACAGAAATACCGAGGTATCAGCGAAGAATGTTTACCATTAATTAGGACAAAGTTTCAGTAATCGGGGTACTTCTATGACTTGGTAGATATGGATCTGAAACTTATGGAATATTTTCCCAAAAATATTTCCTGTTGATATCTCGTTGAATGAAGTGGTATTGCTCAATTAGTTGAAAGCATGCTAGCTATCCGGTTGTAATTTCTTGATGATATTGGATAATCCTGGTTTTTAAATGTTGGAAAGAATATCCAAGAAAGTACTTCGGAAATGTTGTTGAATATCTGTTTAAGTACACTGCACCTCTCATCTCCAGAACAAATTTTCGGACCGACGGTATCCACATACGTGATACAACCACATTTTGTGGTGACACATTTCTCGATTCATCAATTTGCGGAATTAATTTAATAGTTAAAGTACCGTAAAACTCCAGGATCTCTGCTTTCAAACAGTGTGAGAATGGCTTAATTAATTTCTTCCCATACCGCATGTTCCATATCGTATTATTAATCACACTTTTAAGTTCCAGTTCCAATATTTCGTTTTTAAACTATCATATTAAAGGGTAACAATCGTCAGTGATAAAGTTGAAAGAAGTTCGAAGTACCATTAAACACGCTCCAAAAAGGTGTGAGAATCCAATCCATTTTCTAATCACTACCAACAATAATGTCCATTATCTCGTGCAAGAGTTTTTAAATATTAATAAGCTAGTACGATGTAGAATACTACATTTATTAAAACATGCGGTATTTAGTAATATATGTTATTATAAAAATTGGTGGAGTTCTAAAGATAATAATGCTTTCTTGTGGACAGAACTTTCCAGGAACAGTTTTTTGCCTTGAATTCAAAATGAAAATTAAGTTTTTTTCCAGAGCGGTTTGAACAGTTTTCTAACAAGTGCACGCAGAATAGGAAGCAAGCACGATAATGTCATCAGTTTTTTCAACAACACGATATTTTTAACAAAAATCAGGCGTCATTATCCTTAAGCAAAAGCTCCGAAACCATGATGTTCAGATTACATGCATTAACTATGCATAGCCACAGTTTATCGCAGATTAAAATAGTTTTTTAATGCAATTTTTAGTAATTTTAAGGTCAATTTTTGTAATGTGGAACAATTTGTCAAACTTTTCCAAACGGATAATCCTCCTTCGCAAGCTGCCTTTCCCTGGGATCGTATAGCTGCTCTAGCCCGATATTGACAAAAAAGACATGGATGTAACTTTCTTAATAAAGGGACTCTAAAGTAATTTTTTAGTCGAAAAGCACCTTATGTAGGGGACTCCACGGAGGTTCTTTGGCTGTATCTTACATGCAGTATCCATGAGTATGAGTACTTCTGCACACCGGAAGACGCATGCATGCCGTGATGCGCATATCAAATAGCGACAAAACAAAAAATGTAAACAATACTTCCTTGACTAAAAAATTACTGTAGGGCCCCTTTAATGAAGAAAAGTAACAAACGATAAATTTCAATTTGGAAACGCAAAAATGCTCAGAAACTGGAGAGTGTCGGTGTACCGACATACCGAAAATTGCGTTGTCAAATGCAGTATCGGTATATCATTAGTAAGACATTTTCAACAATTCTGGTAAGCCGAAATTACAACGCGAAGACGGGTGTGTTAATAGTTTCAAATGCATATGGGCTGAAATTCTTTTCAATTAAACTTCAAATTATCGTAAATCAGTTCACTTTCGTAAATCAGTTCATCGACTTTCTTGACATTCACGTTGAGAATTTTTCCTCGCTCTGATTTACAAGGACAAAAAGCAGCTATACCAATAATATCGGTATTATTTCCCGATATAAACTGATGCAGGAAATTTCTCATATTTCCAAGTACATACGATCTTGACACCTAAACGAAGAAAACTATTCATGGTTATAGACTGACTGATACAAAGGTGATAAGTACCAAGGGACACGACGGTTTTCCATATAACCAATTAGGCATCAGGCATATAGTATCATGCAAATCTTTGCCTTTCCTGAAGTACCGAGTTCAATTGGCAATAGAGAACTTTTCGAATCCGAAGTAAACGTCTGTAAACAGTCATCTTATTGTCCAAATCTTGTCCCCGCTCGATCTCCTTTCTTGGCAATCTAGAAAACGAATCTAAAAAAGTCGCTCCATATCTTTGGATTGGGCGGTTTTATTTCGGCAACCAACTAAGCAAAGGTTATAAGAATTCGCCAGAACTGCTTCCTTTGAATGATCAGTTATCGATGAAAGAATGTTCATATTGCATTGAGGTGTTAAAATCGCTATTCAATAAAAAAGTGAATTTTACATTAGGCTTTTTAACTCTGCATTTATAACACATATTTTATTGGATCGAGATAGACTAAATTATAATTATAAACATTCCTTAGAGTCTCGATATATATTTTGGTAATAATTTGATAATTAAATCGCGTGTATTACAAATTAAATCACTAACTCATTTTCAAGATTCCTTTTATTCTATATTCTTTGAAAAAATATGATAAATAAACAAATAGTGTAGATTGAATAAGAAACATAGATAATACAGTATAATACAGTTAGTTCTTTGATTTCCTTGATTTCGAGATTTTTTTATTCTTCATGTTTCTTTGATATGACCATACGGGGCTGGTTCCATTAAAATGCGACCATACGTTTCCAAGTTATTTGCATTTTCTACCCTTTGAAGAATTTCTTGGCAATAAGAATCGTTCCCTGGTGAACGAAAACTTTTGGATCCTTTTATTTTTTGTACGATCGCTTCACCTTTGTAGACCTCTCGTGAAAGGCCATTCAAAAAACTATTTAGTTGATCGGGCTTGGATAAATCGTGTCCTGTTGCTGTATATGTTTTTTTCAGAATGTCTGCGCCTTTCTCATTATCTCTAATAGTTTCCAATCGCCCTTTTGTTGATTTTATTGTTTTAATATAATCCTCTATTATCAGGCATTGTCGTTGTTGTTTTGTTTCACAATTAATGATTGCATCTTTTAAATTCGGATTGTGTAGCATGTATTTGCTTGCGACTGTTTTCTGTGACTTTTTACTATTTGAGGGATTACTAAACACTGAAACAGAATGCCCTTGTAGGCCAGCACCTTTCGACTCATAACGCTCTCTCTTCTCTGGGGGAATTTTGTCCATATCAATAAAATACACAGCGTATCGCGTATCCACTCTTAAATGCAAATGCTCCTCCAGTAAGCCGAGCTCCTTCCATTTATCAATTGATCCTCGTGGAAGCAACTCATGATTACCAGTATTATACACCTTTCCTTTTCGCATTCCTGCTTTTCCTTGTAAATCTTTCAACTGGCTTCTTTGTTCTTTAGTTGCCTTTACATTTTGATTCCTAATTTGATCAATTAGCCTTTTCAACCTTTCCTGCTGTTCTTTTGGCCTCACATAACCACCAGTGCCGCCTCGTTCTATAAAATGAGTGTGTATGCCCCGTTTTATCCCATCGCGAATTTTCTTATCATTTTTCACAATCCTAGCGACCTGTTTTCTATCAACTTTTTTTCCGGTAATTTTCGATACTGCATCCATTAAACAACTGTTTTTCCCACTTGAAGTACTACTAGCACAATCAGGAGATTCCGAAAAATGGCCAACACCCCCTTTCCCCCGAGATTTAAAATATATAATGAGGGGTTCCCCGCCAGAACTACCTTTTGGATTAAATTTAAGTGGTAAAATTTGAGTTTCATCTCCGACGTATTTAATATGTATCGGCTTATTGATAACATTACATAATGCCTGGGCTTCGTGTACTCCCATGGGAATATCCTGGCTAATAATTTCAGCATATAAATCCGGATCCCGCACCTTCTTAAGTAATTTTACTAAACTACGCTGGTAGTCACTGACATTATTATTTGCAAGAGTTTGTGTGGCCTCAGTACAGCTTTCTTGATCCCTTGTGTCGGATTTATTCTGTAAGATCTTTTTAAGCTTTTGCTCATGTTGATGTGTGTCAAATTTGGTTTTCATTTTCTTCATTAATTTTCCTGTTGCCATGACTAACTTGTTTGCGCAATGATGTAGAAGCGGTTTTAACAGCTTATTCTCGAGAACGGCTTCCACTTGTTGTCCCAAGTTATCCATTAATTCGTCAAGAAAACCCGAAACGTCTCTTTCTAGATTTTCTCTTTCTTTTTCTTTTTCTTGTTGGTCATACTTATCCTCATTTTTCGCTTTCTTTTCCTTTATTCTTTTTAGCTCAGCTTCTAACAGATGTGGTAGCTCTTTACCAAAACTGGTGCACAACTCATGCATTTCATCTACTGCGCTACAATGTGATACAATTTTTAAAACTGACGATACTACAGATAGCAGTGTTGTAATTTCTTCGCTGGCGCCTTTCGTTTTGCCTGATTTTGCCAAAGCCTCTTGAAAACCTCCAGATATTGCTTTGAACGCTTTCAACGTATAATCGCGCATTTTGTTTTCCTTGCTTCTCCAAAGGTCATTTCCAACACGAGTAATAATCTCTTTCCCTCTCTGTTTGCCAACATTTTGAAAAATTTCTTTAATCAAACGGCGATTTTCTTGGTGCTTTCCTTCTTGATTCAAGCTATTGCATATTGATCTACACATCTCAGAGAGACGATCTCTCATAAGGTTCTCCACTGCCATGTTGACACCGCTCGTCGCCAATCCTAGAGCCCCAGCTTTCAATAGTTTCTTCCCGGCTGTTTTTGCGCATTCTTTAATTACTCGTTTCTTGCCGGTGTTTTTTACCAGTGCCATTCCGGCTTTCTCCACCAAATGCTCTCCGCCGATTTTAACACCATAACGGGAATACTTAGCGCCTCTCGAAAAAAAAGCGCCTACACCACCCGACACAACGGTAAATACTAAACTAATTGCTTTGTTGATTAAGTAATCTTTGAATGTGCAATAGCCCGTGAAAGCACATTCAATAGCAAACATGATATCACTGATTCCTTCTTCAATCAACCCAGCAGCAAGGAAAGTACACGCCCCAACAGAAAAAACTTCAACAACTATTCCAAGTACAATCTGAGCTATACCGATGGCAACAATTGCAACGATTCTCAAAATTGTCCACAATGACCACTTTTTCTCCTCAAGTACTATAACATGATCAAAACCTTTACTTTCAAATAATTGTATTTCAATAGACGCCCCTCTCTTAATCTCTGCGCCAAGCATCTCCCTCATATCTTTCAGACTTGAATCTACGGTCTCGAATTTAAACAGGCCTGCTCTCCAGCTGCTTATTGCCGACGCTACAGATTTAAGATCATGATGACCGAATTTGTTAGGAATTCGACTGTTTTCATTTTCTAAAACCTTCTTGGCATCCTCACTAGTTACGTTTTTAACTAAGACGAGATTAACAATGTTTAGTTCAATTAAATCCTCCCAGATTGTTTGATGAGGATTTGAATTTAGTTGGTCGAAAGGCAGATCATCAATGCTCTTAGCATTAATCAATTGGAGGAGAAGTAATCTGTAAGCATAGTATTTATCTAAGATAGATTTAACTTCACTTTCAAATCGTTTGTGTCTAGGCAAATCGAACTTTTGCATGTTTGGCAAGTCATTTTCCAGGACACCCGACAGTTGAAGTTGTCGAAATATCTCATTAGCAATCTGTTTATTCACACCTTCAATTTCGCAGAAATTTTCCTCAGAAATCCCATCATACTTTCTTAGTTTACATTCTTTAGCATCACTTTTATTAAAGTAAGCTGTTTTGTTAGTGTAAAGTGCGCCAGAGCACTCCAAAATCCGTAGAAATTCTCTATCTAAATCTGATGTGCTCGGAATAACAATATACTCACCACTAATAATATATTCAAGATGCTCTGGAAACATGCAAATAGGTATAGATTTAGAATGTCCTTGGAATGATATTGTTTTCAAATCAACATGACTGGTAGGATATTCATTTCCCGTCGAAACTTCACAGTTACTTGTGCATTTACTTCCACTAGGATTTCTATGTTTTGCAGTGTTTCCACAATCTGTAGAATGCTTTCGTTGGGAAGTGTTTTTACCTACGTTACACTTTTCGATCTCCGAGATGTTTTCTTCTCTACGTCTAGTATACTCAGGATATCCTTTAAGGTCGTTGCGTGCCAAAATAGTTTCTTCTCTAGTGACTTCGTCCACTGAACGAATCTTGCCTGTTTCGAAGAATTTTAGGAAATCTTTACATGCAAATTTTTTGATTTCGCAAATCTTGTTTTTATAGTAATCTTTGGGAAGAAAGATTGAGTCTGCCTTCTTTTTGTCTACCACAATATATTCCTCTTCGTTGCACAATAGATCACTATGGTTTAGTTCCTGCCAAAACTCCTCCCGGCTAGGCAAGAGTCCCCGAAAGTCCTCCGCCTTGAGATCAAGATCTCTATTTGCTCTTTGTAGGGAGTCAATTCTTTCCTTGATTTTACTGGCATAAAGCGCGTACCTCTCAAGTAAATGTGCTATTTGTTCTTCCATGAATTGTCCCAGTTTTTTCTTCTGTTCCTCAGCCTTTGCTTTAAACTCGTAAAACCTAAAACCTTGGAACAGTTTTCGGTCATCAATTATTTTGGTCGTTAGGATGGCGTTTTGGATAATGCTGTCTAGAGCGTTAAATTGAACTATTTGTCCTAGAATATTTCGCACCGAATCGCAAAAGATATTGAAAATTGTAATTAAATCGGTCTTTTGCTGCTCATAGGAGTCATTCGAGATGAAATGCTCGATATCGTTGCCATAAAATTTTTGTACTAATTTTACCATGTTATTGAGCTTAGAAAGCACTTCACTTCTGTGTTTGAATCCTCTTTCCGCATTAAGAAGGTGATAGGTTAGCATCGCTGTATTACCGGTGCTATCTGTTTTTATTATGCAGTGTGCATAATAATAATGCGCGCTTTCTGAAAATTTTGGCTCGTCGGTAATAATTTTCTTGAAAATTTCCATAGCTTTTGAGTACTCTTTCTGTTTCATGTACACGCCGGCTAATTTCACTCTAAGACAAGGGCTTTTGGTCCTAAACCTGATCGAGGAAGATTTTGATCTCGCTTCACTCTCTTCCTTCATTTGCTTCTCGAATTCCATCCAACGACTTTCGACATCAGAATCATCATCACCCAAGATTTTTCCAACGCTATCAAGCCACAGCGCCCAACGATCGAGACAGGCGTTTAGTATGACTTCTTTCTCTGTGTCTTCAAGGTTTTCCAGAACAGTTTGGAATTTTGCGTAAAGGAACTTGAATCTATTGAAATAGTCTTCTTCTTTCATGATGAAGGACTCGTAGTGCTTTTTCATGGAAATCAACCTCTGTTTCTCCTCCGCATTCCTTTCTTTTGCCATTTTAAGAATTGAAAGACGAGAGCTTTGTTTCTTCTGGAGATTATTGGAATTCACAATGCACAACTGACCGCTACCGTTTTGACCTTTTCGGGCAGCGCGTCCAAACGCTTGTTCTTCAATTCTCGTATTTCGTGGCAAATATGTTAAGATCACATGAAGTCCCCCTGCCATATTCATGTCATCACTGATTTTCAAATCCGTTCCACGTCCGGCTAGATTTGTTGAAAGAATCACACATCCTTTTTCAATAATCTTCCCTTGGCTCACAATATCCAGCTCCTCATAGCTACTCTTGTATATATGCAAATCGAAACGACTATTTTCACTCATTCTGAGAAACTCCCGATGAAAATTGTCCAATTCACGAATCGTGTTACAAATCATTAATACTGGCCTCACTTTAGCAATTTCTGCAGCTATCTCAACGGATTTTTTAATCCAAGCGTCTTCAGAATTGAACAAATGTCCTGAGTGGTGGGAAAATTGCTTGGGACAAAAAGTTGGTATGTTCACATAATCCACGTCGTAAAGTTCTTTCAGAGAATTCCTTTCTTTCTCAGATCCTAATGTCCCCGTCAAACCGAAGATCGATTTTCCATAAAGCCTGAAGAAAGCAAGATTGGACATGAAAACTGCTTTAAGGTTTTCAACCGACAATCGACAACCGTGCTTGAGCTGTAAGAATTGATGCAAGCCGTTACTCCATTGCATGTTCGACTGTTCCACGCCTGTGTCTACGTCAATGATAACAACATTCGCTGTGTCGCCAAATTCTATATCACTTCGATCAATGTCAACAATGTAATGCTGCCTTTCGTTCATGAATCTTGCCATAAAAGCGTTTTTTATCCACTCAGTAAGGTGCAGTTCGATAAACTGTTCCAAGTAGTTTGGAACATCAATTTCGGTTCCCTGCCTTGCAGCATCTTTCAGAAAGTTTAAAACAGCTCCATCGATATCAACAATTTCTTCTAAATCGAGTTTCTTGTTCAGGTCAAGTTTAATATTGGTATTCTTTAACTTTGACAAACAACGAATTCTTCCTTTTCCGTCTAATATGTTCTGGTCACATAACTCCTGTAAAATGACATCTGAGATTGTTTCAATTCCGGATATAAAATTTAAGCGCTTTTCCAAGTCATCTTTGCTAATCGTGCCGTACATTGCATTCATTAAAGCGGCTCTGACAAGTTCCACGTCTTGGTCAGTTCCTGCGAGACCTTTGCCATGAACAAAGGACCAAATGTATACGAACAAAGGTTCTAAAGCATCGAAATCAGAAATGTCGTGTGACAGGTAGAGAACATTTTCGGCCTTATCTAGAAGCATACTGTCGACTTCGTCAACCACAATCGTATCAAAACCTCTTTTCCCAAAAGCGTTTTTGCTGTAAAACTGTTGAAGCAGGATATCTCTCTGAAACGAACCAATTTCCCCGTACACAATATCTCTCTTATACGCCTCAGCTCTTTTTTCGATGTCTTCGCTACAATTGTGAGAAACGCTGACGCCAAATAATTCAAAATACTCTTGGTTTTCAGTAGCATCACGCTCAGCAAGTACGGGGGAACTGGTAATGACATCTACACTGTGACCAATGAGATTTTTTATTATACAAAAAGCAACTATAATGATGGTTTTCCCTTCGCCAGTTGAGACTTGCTCAAGGAGACCGTTAGAGCCGCTGTTGACAAGCAACGCAATCGCTAGTCTTTGAGTGTGTCTCAATTTAAAGCCTGTTAACAAAGATAACCCCACTTCGACAAAAAACAACACTTCACAAAAGTTTTGCAAAAGAAATTTTTGTCTCTCGTCATCACATAAGCACTCCACGTTCCTCTTAACTTTCTGTGCATAGACTTTAACGATGTCTTTGTAATATTCTTTCTCATCTTTGTCCATTTGCTTTATTTTTGAATCGAAAGCTGTCTTCCAGTGAAAGACAAAATCATAACCAAATGCAGAAACGATCTCTTCTTCATCCAAAATATCTTGTTCCAGGACTCCTTTCATATCGGCCTCATCTTTAGCACTTGAATCACTACGCGTACGACTTGAATTTAAACCAGTTGCGCTACAATCGCCATTCATTAGTTCAAAAAGTTCGTTAAGAGATCTTTCAGTGCCAGGCGAGCATAATTCACTAAATTTACTTTGCCAGTTCTGGACCTTTTCATTTTCTACCATTTCCAGTGTCTTTACTGTGAATGGCCATATTTCGTAATAGAAGTTGCTAAGAAACTGACATATGATTTCTTCAGAAAAATTTTCTGACTTACTTAAAATTTTAAGAAAAAAATCGACAAGGTTATCACCATAGATTTTTCTCAGCTCGTCTACATATGCATCTGCTTCTATTAGTGCTTGCTCTGACCAATTTACTGGCAACTCGACAAGAAATTTCAAAGAATTGTAATCCCTTACGATTTCCGGCCATTCAGAGATTTCTCTGCATGACAACTGTTCTACGATATCTTCGTCACACGGTTCTTTCTGTATTGATGTTAAAGCAACGAAAACTTGATTCAGTTTACTGGTTTCATTATCATCTTTTTTAAAACATAGATCATCCACACCAAGCACAAGTTCCCAAATAACTGGAATCCATTGCCCGTCTTCAATTAAACGTAGATGTTTTCTTAAGGCATCTTCGTCCCGCAGTGGAAGCTTACATTGTTGAACAACATATTCGGCCAACCAATTCACTATTGTATTTGATGAGACGATCCACACAAAACTTTTTAAACTCTGTTCATCAGTCTGTTCAAAAATACGACTTGTAAACCAAAGAAATAAATTAAAAGGCAAATGAAAGCCATCGACTAGTATTTTCTTTGTCATAACTTCCAGTAATAAGGTTGTAGACCAGGAATCAATGCAAGCCAATATCTTTAGAATTTCAATAGTTTTAAAATACCGTTCATCTTTCTGTGTCTCTTCTAATTCAATACGGTAGTTTTGGATGATTCTGAAGTTTGTATTTCATTGTTTCTCACGTTCATCATCATCATCATCATCATCATCATCATCATCATCATCATCATCATCATCATCATCATCATCATCATCATCATCATCATCATCATCATCATCATCATCATCATCATCATCATCATCATCATCATCATCATCATCATCATCATCATCATCATCACTTTCCCAGTCTTTTTCCGTATCTTCTTTGTCGACATCCGTGACGACTTCATCATCATCTTCTTCTGAAGAATTCCTGTCAATTCCCACATTGTATTTTAAATCTTCCATATCGTTAATAGTTTTGCATATTCCAGCAATATCAATGTAAATACTTTGCAAAACCCTCTCCGAAAAGCTTGAAATGTCATCTATGGACGACAAAGACATTATATCTTTTACAATATCACAACAGGAGTGAGTTAGCCTCATTTTAACCAGGAACATTACTTTAATTCGACATTTTTTCTTGCTGCGCATATACTGAATTTCTTCAATTTCTCTGATTTTCTTTACCATGGCCTCAAAGCAAGAAAATTTATATTTATCAATCGAAATATCGCCTAACTTTTTTAGCTGCGCAGTAACACCTGTTTTATCAGTATGATGGCCAAATCTCTTAAGCAATTGCTCAGAATGGTTAAGACATTCCTTACGAATTACTACCAGTTGTTCTGGTTCATCAACTGGACGATCGGATAGTGTATTGATTATTGCTTTAATAGGATATGTTACATTACTTTCGGAACTCCTTTTTTCGTCATTAATTACTGCAGTAAGATTTTCACTTATCTCGCTAATACACGAAAACAATGGCTTAGTTGGAAGACGCTGATAACAATCCATTATTTTTTTGATATTCTTTGCTTGAATGGCCTTTGATTGCTTAAAACACACAGATGATGATTTCAGATTCTTGTACTCTTTAATATCTTGACATATCCCTTCCATTTTTGTCTCAGCATGATAGATTTCCATGACTTTGCTTTCTACCACACTTTGGTATACCTGGATAATATTTTCCCTGGAAATAGGTACGGCTCTGTAATCTTGTCTTACGTTACGTACTGCGTTACTTCTTTTCACGTTTTTTTGGTTTCTCTGCCCTTCACACCTTTCGCGTCTTCCCCTTTCTCTCGTCAACTCTCTTATTGTCGCATATCTATTGGAACCACATCTTCTTGACTCATTATCGCAATAAGCGTTATCCGAGGTATTTTTCGACATAAAATCTAACGACAACCTTGCCGGACCGTACGTACGTATTGTTCTGTACTGACTCGGCTCAACTCGCCCAATGTCTAACCCTCTCCTGCCATTGTACCCTCCTTTCCCCCCTACTCCATCTTTACCATTTTCCCCATCACGACCTTTTTTTGCCTCGATGTTTACCTTGTGTCCCTCATACATTATTTCTATAGTTCCGCCACTTCCTCCGCTCCCTGCTCGACCACCCTTGCCACCCATACCACCACGCCCTCCTCTCGTCCCTTTTCCACCATAATGTATACAGTATCCTTGCCATAGGGCGTATCCGAAAACGGCACCAAGAGTATTCCAAAATTTTTGTGGTTCCCTATAACTACTATAAATAACCCTCCCGTGTGTATCCGTCCTTTCGTCACGGTAGAAACCATGTTCGTATGTTAGGGCATAAAAATCACCTACATTCGTAGTTGGAGGATAACTCTTATTGAATTCTGACCTGCTCATCTCATAACCATCTTCACCGTCAACACCATTTACCCCATTTCCACCATCTTGTCCACTCTGGCCCATTCCTCCATTTCCTTTTATCGTCAATTGATCATCATTTACAAATTCCGTTAAGTAGACGAAAACGTTTCCCCCTGCTTGACCACTACCTCCTGTTTCTCCAGCATCACCATCTTCACCTTTCCTTTGACCGCTCCTAGCTTTGGTAGATTCATGTTTCACGCCATCAACACCTGAGGTATCAAGTGTGCGCTCACCGAAGACAAGTACTTTAGGACTAACTATAACCAGGTTTATCCCGGGAAGTCTCAGATCTTTGTCGATACAAATAATCTCTTTCCCAATTATTCGTATCTCATAAACTCCGGTTGTATCCATTTCGTTCTGGATATCTGATAGCTTCATAAAATAACCATCTATTTCCAAAATCAGGCCATTATTGTCCTTGCTTACTTTTCTCTTATATTTGGTGTGGAATTGTTTAAACATCCTGTCTAGTTCTTCAGGCGCAAAAATAAAATTAATACCTTCAGTACTCATGGATAGAACTTTTCTTTTCAATGCTTCCAAACCACGCGTTGACGTCTTTTTCAAATGATCTATAAAACTATGTAGCTTTGAGTTCAGGTCATCTCCCTTAAAAGTTTCTAGTAACTTCAAACATTCTTTCATTGCATCTTCATTTTCCAAACTGTGGACAAAGACGTTTCTTAAAGCGTGCTTTGTTTCATTAACTAAGTCAATTTCCGCATTTAATGACCGAATTTCCCCTTCAAGTAACTTAAAGCATTCGCTTTTTAAAGTTTTCCAAAACTTTTTGCGTTCCTGGGTCGATAATTTCAAACAATGGTTGCTTAGCATTTCAAAATGTTTTACTTCATGAAAATTCTTTGGGATTTTGTTTTCTTGTTTAAAGTCATCTAAAAGGCTGTTTAAATTGCAGCGTACATCCTTGATATTTTTTTTCAGGTGAAATAAGCTTTCATTTAAAAATTCTTGGAAAACATTCTCTATGTACGTGCGTTCAATAAACGTTTGTTCTTTAGCACTCAATGGGTTGTCATATCTACACTCAATTTTTTTAAATACATCATCTAAAGGTACCTGTTTTTTGACGCTCTGAATGATAAACTTCAAAATTACCTGTTTTTCGCTTTCTGTATCGCCAATGTCTGCAGGCATTTCGTTAGAACCAAAAAATATACGTAACTTCTGTAACGTTTTCCTTAACAATTCCATGCTTTTGTAAATACCAAATATGTAGTTTCCAAAACTGGCTTCACTAACTCGTGATTTCAACCCATAATGTTCTTCTACAAACATAAATTGATTACACCTGTTAGACATTGTTAGACATTTGTAATATTGCTTCATGTGATATTATTATATATTTACTACACACACCCTAATAATTATTTTGCATCATGAATATAAATCTTATATTCATTACGTCTACATTCGTGAGTTCGCAAAGGTCTCTCTCTCTCAGAATCTACTACTACAGCTAAAAAGAGCATTTTAAAATTACTAAAACTGCAAAGTTTCATGGGTTGCGAAATGTTGTAAAATTCGGGAAATATAGCCCTGCAAAATTTCGGGCCAAAGTGTGAAAACTTCTGCACGTAATACAAAAACATACAAAATTTGCCTATATGTGGTTTGCTACTACTGAAGAATGTATTCTAATTCTTTCCGTCATCTGTTCCAAACTTTGTTAATTTGTGAGATATTTCGATCCGCAACATTCTTTTGTCGACCATATTGTTTCATGATTAAAACAAATTAAACTACGTCACAAGCAGGGTAGACTTTTTAAAATTCAAAAACTACTGTCAGTGAAAAGCGTATATTTACAGGATGTACTTCAATATATAAACTATTGGTGTTGATCGGGGTATAAATAAAGAATTTTGTATGAAAATAAACCAACAAGTGCTACGAAACCAAACAATTTTTCTCTCCATATAATATTACTGATTCTTCTGCTTTTCCCCTACCATCGGAAAAAGTGAATTTTCGCCACTGCCCTGTATGGCACAGGCCTGTATTCGTATTTGTATTTGGGCAGTTTTATTTAGCCAGTGAGGCAAATACAACGACGATAGCAATACATTCAAGATGGCGTCGAAAGCCCGAAACGCACTGTTGAAGGCTGAACGTCACATAAATTTACACAAATTTCAAACATCAAAGGGAATACCCCTCGCTATCATTGTGATTTATTTTCAATCCGTGTCATAGCGTATAATTTACGAAATTCTGAAATGAAATTGAATTAACAAATTATTTAAAGCAAAGTTTTTGTTACAGTGGAGCGCAATTCAATTGTGGAATAGTCTTTGACAAGTAATATGAAAGCTACAAACATTGTCACAGTTCAAGAAGACTGTAAATATAGTTATTATGACAGTCTAAGCGAGCTCCCACACGGCAATCTTGTAAACCAGTAACTTCTTTTCTGTGTTTATGTATGTAAATATGTCAATGTGTACTTTACTGAAGATTTTACCGTTTTAAAGAATTCCAATAATATTCCCCGAGCAGGCGGCGCAAAGCGCCGTGCGAGGGTACTAATCCCCGAGCCGACGGCGCGAAGCGCCGTGCAAGGGTACTAATTCCCCCCCCCCCGGCTATTTACACCCGGGGAATCGAAAGCACTAGCGAAGTCTAAAGTTCATCAATCATCGCGGGCGCTCACCAACGATGGGTGGTCATCCTCACTGATCTCAAAAATATGGCTGATTGCTTGTAGGAGTGGGTAAGCAAGATTTCAAGTTTTAAAAGACATATATTTGGAAAATCGTTTCATGACCTTTCATATACAACAAGCTTGAAACAATTTTGTTTGAAGAAATGAGAAGAATTGATTTACTACGGGAAATCATGAAATATACGGCAAGTTTAATGTTTACGAATTTTGATGCTTTAACTTTTTGCCTAAAAACATGAACTGTCTTCCTTTTCAACGAAGTTCTAAGTTTCATAAATTACCGTTTAATTTGAGAAAATATCTTAAAATGTAAAGACGAACAAATTGATTTGAAGACTGGACTGAAATTACCTAACAATTTGTTTTATTTGTATTAAACTTATCATGTTTTGTTAAGTAAAAACAGTTTATCGGCAAAATGTAGTTTACTTGAATGAACATTTCAAAACATTTTACGAAGCGTTTGAAATTAAATTTTACATTAAATCGAAGCTCACAAAATGCAAAATAATATACCTACAGTATATATTTCGGAAATTTATTGTTGTATAGTTAATAAAAGTACGAATCTTTCAACTATTTTGCAGTTTTGTACAAAAAATATGAAAATAAAAATTTAAGAATATCGTGTTGTCATGGCAACACTTGAGCGCGACCCTGCGTTCACTGTTGATCATTTCTGAATACTTCATGTTAAATGTTTGGAAAATAGTGGCTAGGGGTTACTGCATGCATGTATTTCTAGTTCCCCCCGGCTATTTACACCCGGGGAAACGAATTGAAAGCCTTAGCGAAGTCTAAAGTTCATCAATGAGCGGGCGTCGGTCACCAACGATGAGTGGTCATCCTCACTGATCTCAAAAATATGGCGGACTGTCATGAATAACGGACACTGATTGGTCCAATTTAAAGTTTGCATTATAACGACTGCATGACGACAGCGAAATAGCAAACATTTCTTGATTTGATGAGTTGATGATTGATACATTTCTTGCAAATATTCTTCATTTTTGCTCGTATTTCTGCAAGATTTTGTAAATTTCAAGAAAGAAAGGGCGAAAGAATCAGCTAAAAGAAGGGAGCCGACGTTAACGAAGGTAAGTTTGTTTTAAATATTGATTTTATAATGGCTTTAAAACCCGACGGCCTTTGCGTATATGAAACAACTAAAACAAGACAGCATATACTTTCAGTGTATCTTTAATATTGATTCCCTTTTTTATTATATTGAATTTTTTAAATAAATAAAGCAAAGTTATTTGCAAGCGAGAATTTGAAATCATTTTATTGCAAACTCAAAGTTTATCGATAAAACCATTTAATAGTTAAAGGCAGTTTAGTTTTATAAAGAACACTTTAAAACGTTTTGTGAATTGTTTGTGGTTGAATTTTACCTTAAATTGAAGTTTGTATTACGTATAATTACATACCTAACATATATATGTTGGGAAATTGATAATTTTGTAATTAAAAGTGATATTTTTAGGTGATTTTCATTTGTAAGAATATTCTTAAAAAATGATCGTGTTACCATGACAACTACTTTAGATACTTCATGTTCGGAAAATACAACGGTTTCGTCAGCAAGGCGAGGGTTTCTGCATGCATGTATTTTCTAGTAATAATAATGCTTACCCCCAGTGCCGGATTAACCCATCCCCGGACCGAAGGCAAAAATACTATCCGGCCGGCATTCGGTGAATATGAAATATATAATCAAATCGAAAATAAAATTTTCGCCAATACATCATGATCAAGAACTATACACGGTATAGCCTATATTTATTATTAAACCGGCATTTTACGCGATTTCAACGATTCAAAGTTGGAAATGATTTCGTCTATCCGAAGTGAGTCCAGCATTCCGTGATGCTAAGTCGGTCGAGTTTTGAAACCTTATCTTGTCCAGACGCAGATAGTTCTTGACTTGTTTAGGACGCTAGAACTTCTTAGCTTTCAAAATTATGCGACTGGCCTACATATATTGTGATTTTCAATGAGAATTTATGTCATTTGAAAACTGCACAGCAACTGAAATTTATAAACATTGTTTTTCATGGGCCGGTAAGTATGCTTTTGAGCTGGGGACCGGGGCAAATGCCCCCATTGCCCCTTAAATAATCCGGCACTGTTGATCAACTCCAAACGTCATAAAATGTAATCCATTAAAAAATACCTCAAACAAATGTAGTAACGTATGCAGACAAGCTAAACTAATTCGCAAATATTATGGATTTGCTTCGTCCCCAGAAACGTTACGGATATATGTCGAAAGCTCACGACTGTGACGCACATGATTGTGTGCAAGCAAGCCCTGACATAGTGCCCACCGCATACGCGCGGTAGTCACAACAAGCAGCAAAAGGACTATTAATTACCTAAACATTACAGACAGATGAGCAAAAGCCCTTCGTCGTGAATTAATGGGGGGGGGGCACGCGTGTTTTTATAGAAGTGATCATATTAAAACAAACTTAGCAAAGTAAAATCCAGTCAGATGGATTTGTTTAGAACAAGGATAAACAAAAAAAAATTGAAATCACACATTTATATCATACTTATATGTTAAATGTAATCATACATATATATTTTAGATACAAGGTTAAAAAAGGCATAATGTACATATGAAGAGATGCACAAAGGAAACAAACACAATAAACACAGAGGTAGGATTAGACCTGTTTATGTCTGAGCAAGGCAGACAAAGACAGGTCACACTAAATGAAAGAAAAACGCTTGTTAATACCAAGTGGGTGTGCGGTTGCAAGTTTGAAAATGAGACGCATTTCCTGTTTACCCTACCCTACTTATATTACACTTGCACCCAGGACATTTAAAATTAAGCTATCATATTACTGCACAGACAATAACACAACACAAACGAAAAGTTGACTTGTGACCCTGAAAATCGGAATTAAACACTGAGATATTTAAATTTATGCAAACCAGATTTTGTTTTATTGTGATTTAACACGGGGATATGAAGTAAGTAAAATTAGGATTAGTTTTAGTTTAGTTTTAGTTTTAACAGCTTTATTGAACGATGTTCAAATGGCAAGAGTGCGAACGGGACTCGAGACCCATGCGAGGCACTCTCCCTCTTGAATTTAGTTTACATCTAATATCATTATTTCTGACGACAATATTATAAATTGGTAAACATATACCAGCTGATTAATATCAAATTAGGACGGCTATTGCACCACATTCAAGTTATCATGAATAAAATACAGATTTGTATAATCATGTTAAAAATTTGTAAGCTGAATCAGGATAAAACAAAACCTGACGCGAGGAACTGGTATATGTTTAATTTACATCAGAATTAACTATTTCTATGGCATGAACAGTACGATACAAAGACCACGAACAGTACATGTCAACATCAAAACTACTGCTTCATAAATTGAAGTATGTTCTTGATAAGAAGGATTTAAACCTTGCCAAACTGCGAAGATCTCCAGGAGAAGCAATTTTGCAAGTATGATTCCAGAGTCGAACAATACGGTTAAAGAACGATGACTGAAAAGTGCTACTTTTACATGACGGAACTTTAAGCACTAGAGAAGGGATATTACAATTACGGGTACGACTATGATTAACAAATGACACA